AAGCCCTCAAAGCCGCCATCGCTGAGGCAAAGCGAAGAGCCTGGGAGCAACTGATGAGCTTCCTGGATGAGGATCCGTGGGGGCGCCCCTACAAGCGGACGGTGGGTAAACTTCGTCTGTGGGCGCCTCCACCTACGGAGACTCTAGATCACCAGGCTCTCGAGGCACTCCTGGACACCCTCTTTCCGAGGGTGGAAGGGGGCTCCCCCCGATCCCCGTTCCCGAGTTATGGAATGGGGACTGGGACGAGAGCCTGGAGGTCGATCCAGAGGAGCTCGCCGGGGTCAGGAAAAGACTCGGGGCCAAGGGGAAAGCCCCTGGTCCCGATGGCATTCCTGGCCGCGCCTGGGCTCTCGCCCTCGGCGAGGGAAGCCTGTCCGAGGCCATGCGGGTCCTCGTGAACAGGTGCCTCAGGGAGGGGGCATTCCCCCCAGAGTAGAGGAGGGCTAGGTTAGTCCTCCTCCCGAAGGAGGGCAAAGCGCCTGGCGGTGCGCCGTCCTTTAGGCCGATATGCCTGCTGGATGAGGCGGGCAAGATCTCGAGAGCATCATTGCCGACTGCCTCACCCAGCATCTATCCTCGGAGGGGCCGAACCTCCACGACCATCAATACGGGTTCAGGCCCGGGCGATCCACGCTGGATGTCATCCAGCATGTCCGGGATGACCTGACCTGTGGGATCGTGGAGGAGGAGGGCGGGGTGTTGATGGAGGTGTCGTTGGACATCACCAACGCATACAACACCCTGCCCTGGCTGGAGATTGGACAGGCGCTCGAATATCGGAGATAGACGGGGGTGCCTGTCTATCTCCGGCGTATCATATCGGCCTACTTCGGGGGCAGGGACCTCGCCTACTCGAAGAGAGGCGGGGTCCAAGGTCGGCGCGCCATGGAGCATGGTGTTCCGCAGGGGTCGGTTCTCAGCCCCCTGCTGTGGAATATCACGTTCGACCGGATGCTTCGCTCTCCCCTCCCCCTGGTTGCCACGTTATCTGCTATGCAGATGACACGTTAGTGGTAGCCGAGGGGAGAGGTTAGAGGGAAGCTCGCCTCCGAGTGGAGGCGGTGCTGGAGTCCGTGGTGGGCACCATCAAGGGCCTGGGACTGAAAGTGGCGCCCCAGAAGACGGAGGCTATGTATTTTCATGGTCCCCGTCGAGGGGCGCCATCAGAGTCACGGGTCCTGGTGGATGGAGCCCGCGTCCGCGTCGGGCCCATGACTAAATATCTGGGCCTGACGTTGGACGGCCGCTGGAATTTCGAGGCCCATTTCAGGAGCCTGACCCCCCGGATCTGTAAAGCAGGCCTGGCATTGGCCAGCTTGATGAGGACCCAAGGGGCCCTGGATGGCACGCTCGCAGCCTCTATATCGGTGTGGTGCTCTCGATTGCCCTCTACAGGGCACCCATATGGGCGCCCCGACTTATCGCCACCGGCCGCAACAAGGGTCGCCTGCAACAGACGATGCGATCGGTGGTCGTGAGGGTGATTCGGGGGTACCGCAACGTTTCGTATAGGGCGGCGACGGCCCTGGCCGGCTCCCCCCTGTGGAGCTCCTTGCCGAATCAAGGCACATCCTCTATTGAAGGGTGAAGGAGGGGGCGAAGGTCCATCGGCCGGGGATCTGAGGGCCTTGGAATCCCAGGCTAGATCCCGAGTCCTGGAACGGTGATCAGTCATATTGACTGACCCCAAAAGGATTCGGGATCCGAACGGCTGAGGCCGTCCGCCCCTGTCTGCCAGAAATGGCAGACAGGCGGGGACGCGGGCTCACCTTCCATATGGTGCAGATGCTGACCGGGCATGGGTGCTTCGGTCGGTACCTGTACCGGATTGGAAGGGAGCCCACCACGGGCTGTTACCACTGCCCGGAGCCGCAGGACACGGCGGAGCACACTCTGGCCGTGTGCCAGGCTTGGGCTCCGCAACGCCGTGTCCTCGCTCGGGCAATAGCGTGCCAAGAGGGGGCCTCTCGCTCCCGCATTTGCTCAAAGCAATGTGCGGGAGCGAGGAGATTTGGGGAGCGGCGGCCTCTTTTTGCCGGTACGTCATGTCCCGCAAGGGGGCCGCCGAGCGGGAGCGCTGTCCAGGAGTCCGTCGCAGGGAGCGACGGAGGGGGCGGCGCTCCACAGGGGTGGAAAGCGGGCCTGAGGTGGCGCCGGCCGAGGAGGAGAGACCACCGGCTAGTCGGAGGCCGCCTCTTCGACCGCCTCGGGCACGCCTTCGACGTACCGATGGGGGTGGGTGGGAGGGGTGGTAAGCCCTCTTGCCCACCCCGGGTGTCGGTGATGGCAGGGAGAAGGGGAACGAGGACCGGTTGGGGCCGGGGCTCGCACCCCTGCCCCCCTACCCACCCAGTAGGGAAGAGGGAAAGCGGTGGCGAGGAGAGAGGGCGGGTGTCCTCTCTCTCCTAATTAGCACCGAAAGGCCAACCTGGCCGGACAACTGGCCGGTGCACCGTGCCCTTGACACCCAGTCTGGGAGGGTCGCGGTACTTAGGCGTGGGGCTCCATGAGAGCCCTGGGGATGGGATGTCGGGGAAGAAATGTAGGCGTAGTTCCCCAGACTCCCCCACGGTCCGAGCTGTAGGCACCCCGCAGGGATTTTAGTCGGTAGAAGTCCGACATAACCCCCGCCCTCCCCAAGGGGCAGGGGTATCCATGAGGATTTCCCCTGCGTAAAAACAAAAAGAAAAAGACACCCGGGAGTGCGTCAGCCTATAGGCTGATATGCCTGCTGGACGAGGCGGGCAAGATGTTCGAGCACATTATTGCCGACCGTCTCATCCAGCATCTGTCCTCGGAGGGGCCGAACCTCCACGACCATCAATATGGGTTCAGGCCAGGACGATCCACGCTGGATGCCATCCAGCATGTCCGGGTCCTGACCCATGGGGTCGTGGAGAAGGAGGGCGGAGTGTTGATGGCGGTATCGTTGGACATCACCAACGCATACAACACCTTGCCCTGGCCGGAGATTGGACGGGCCTTCGAGTATCACGGGGTGCCCGTCTATCTCCGGCGCATCCTGTCGGCCTACTTCGGGGACAGGGACCTCGCCTTCCCGAAGGAGGGCGGGGTCCAAGGCCGGCGCGTAATGGAACGCGGTGTCCCGCAGGGGTCGGTTCTCGGCCCCCTGCTATGGGACATCGCGTTCGACCGAGTGTTGCGCACTCCTCTTCCCCCAGGCTGCCACGTCGTCTGCTACGCGAATGACACGTTAGTAGTAGCCGGGGGAGAAAACTGGGGGGAAGCCCGCCTTCGAGCGGACGCAGCAATAGCATCGGTGGTGGGCACCATCAGGGACCTTGGTCTCAAGGTAGCACCCCAGAAGACTGAAGCCGTGTTCTTCCACGACGGCGGTCGCGGGGCGGTACCCCGCGCCGGAGACCAGGGTCCTGGTAGATGGTGTCCGCCGGAGACCAGCGTTCTGGTAGATAGTGTCCGCATCCACGTCAGGCCCACGATGAAATATCTAGGCCTGACGCTGGACAGCCAATGGGACTTTGGGGCACATTTTAGCCAGCTGACCACCCGGGTGCATAAGGCGGGACTGGCAGTAGCCAGCCTGATGCGAGCCCGGGGAGGTCCAGGATGGAGGGCTCGCCGCCTGTATGTCAGTGCGATGCTCTCGCTAGCCCTATATGGGGCGCCCATCTGGGCGCCACAACTATTGATCACTGGCCGCAGTAAGTGCCTCATGCGCCAGGCGATGCGGCCGGTGGTCATAAGGACAATAAGAGGGTACCGCACTGTATCGTACATGGCGGCGACCACTCTAGCCGGCTCTCCTCCCGTGGAGCTCCTCGCAGAGGAGCGGAGCATTCTCTATTGGAGAGTGCGGGAGCTCCGCGAAGAGGGAAAGCTAACGGCCAGGGGTCTACAGGCCCTGAGGTCCCAGGCCAGAGCCCGAGTGCTGGAGAGATGGTCAGACATGCTGTCAGACCCCCGAGGACCCGGGCATCAAACGGCCGAGGCTGTCCGCCCCTGCCTACCAGAGGTGGTTGGCAGGGCGGGATGCGGATTAACCTCCCATCTGGTGTAGATGCTGACCGGGCATGGATGCTTCGGCCGGTACCTGCACCCATATCAGGAGGGAGCTCACCACCCGATGCCACCACTGCGCGGGACAAGAGGACACGGCGCATCATACTGACGATGCTGACGGGCTGACGACATGCCCAGCATGGAGTTGGGAGCGCCGTGTCCTCGCCCGCGCAGTGGGGTGCCGCGTGGGGGAACTCTCGCTCCCGCGCATGGTTCGCGCCATGTGCGGGAGTGAGGAGAGATGAGGGGCGGCGGCCTCCTTCTATAAGAATGTGATGTCCAAGAATGAAGCCGCCGAGTGGGAACGCCGCCTGCAACCCCGCTGCAGGGTGCTGCGGGGGCGAAGGCGGCGCTCCCTGGGAGTAGGCAGTGGGCCCGAAGTGGCGCCGGTCGAAGAGGAGCGGCCACTGGTTCCGGAAAACTGGAGGCCGCCCCCTCGACCGCCTCGGGTCCGATTTCGAACGCGCGTGGGAGGAGATGACGGATGAGTGAGCCCGCCCGCCTCCCCCGTGCGCAGGTAAGAGGTAGGTAATGGGGGAGTGGATGCCCGGTTGGGGCTGGGCTCCACTCCCCCGCACCCCCTCCTATGGACGGGTGTAAAGGGGAGGCGCGGAGGGAGGGTGGATGCCCCCTCCCACCAAATACAAACCAGAAGGCCAACCCGGCCGGGGGGCCGAGCCCTGGACTCCCTCCGTGGGACAGGACGCGGTACTCGAGGCGAGGAGCTCGTGGAGAGCCCTGGACCCGGGGTGTCGGGGAGGGAATACGGAAGTAGTTCCCCTGACTCCCCCCACCACGGTCCGAATGGTAGACATCCCGCAGGAGTTTTAGTCAGTAGGAGTCTGACATAACCTGCGGCCCCTACTACATAGAGATCAAACTGTATTCATTCAAACTGTAACTTACATAGCTGAAAAAACGACTCGACTGAAGGGGAACTACAGGGGAACTACAGGGGAAAATTCTTGGAACTTACATCGTACGATATTTCTGCATCATTGTTAACATATAATTTTTCTAATTCTCCTAATTCCAGCGTGGAGTCACCGCCTTCTTTATTATTTGGGCGTCTTGGATCTTATTGTAATCTTCTATGTAATAAACCTACAGGCATCATTAGATTATGTGATTATATGTGACAATATTACAAAATATCTATTATTGTGATAGGTTTATATTTTATCTTAAAATACGAATTATCGTACTTTACGAAATTTATCTTACGAATAAAAAGGGATTTATTAACCCCTTTGGAGAATTCATTTCCATATGGATAGAACCAGGTGGCGATTCTTCAATTTCTGTGAGGAGATTTAATTCATTTAATACTTCTGCCTCTGCATCTGTATCAACATCTTCCACTAGAAGGGGGATAGATGCCTGAAAAATAAGAAATTATGTTAACAAATAGCGTGAACAATATCATTAAAACGCAAGATGATAGTAAACGTTACTTTATTTGGTTTGGTATCTGTATTTGCATCATAAATTTCATCGTCTCCATCTCCTTCTTCCTCTTCCATGTCCATGTCTGTATGTCCCAAAAATTCAAAATTCGCTATAACAGCTACTTCTGTATCTAATATCATTGCTTCTGCTATAGAAGATGGCTATTGCTGGAACAATAAATTATATATAAATGTATAACAGAATCGTAACTATCGTAATGTAGCTTAATTCTCTTAATTAAGTTCGTATTTTACCTTTTTCGGATGTCCTCCGGAGTATAAGACTTACATCGGATGATTCTTGTCTGTTCTGTGTTCCCTCATTTCCATTTAATACTGGAATATTCATTTCATCTGAGTCTGTATTATTATAATATGTCCCACCGCGTATATTTAATTTCTCGCCTTTCGTCATTAGTCACTGCGCAGACGTGCTCCACAGACGGAGCAGTGACTCACGACGAATTCTTCTCGAGTCGGGATGCGTTCCGAATGTTGCAAAAAACGGTCACAAACCTTTATGCTCGCGAGTGTACAGTCGCGGACATAAAAGCTGTCACTTTTTTTTAATGACTTTCGAGACGCATCCCGACTCGAGAAAGATGAGAGCTACTGCTCTGCCTGCGGAGCACATCTGCGCAGTAACTCACAACGAAAGGCGAGAAATGAAATATACGTGGTATGATATAAATATGTCAACAATCATTGCGTTCAGCAGAGAAAACCGTTCAGTGAGCGATTAGTGACTAAAAAAATACGATTTCACTTAAAATTTAATATACATATCTGCTCAATACCTTGCAAAAGACGCATTCCCATTTGAGTGACTTGCACTATGTATCTATCCCTCCGCTGCTGATTTTTCAAAATGTAAGAATTGGGTGCGTTCACGACACTCAACGGTTGAGCAACTGTTGAATAATTCGTCAATGTTATTGGTCTGAATGGAAGGGTCTAACAGTAAGGACCAATAGTCACTAATCGTTCACTGAGCGGTTTTTTCCGCTGAACGCAATGATTGTTGACATACTTATGTCATACCACATATATTTCATTTCTTTCGTTGTGAGTTACTGCGCAGGCGTGCTCCACAGGCGGAGCAGCAGCTCATGGTTCATGGTTCAATAGATGGCTCCAAACGGATCAATTCCGTTCCTACGCCAGTCATCGATTACGTTTACACGGCTTCTAACTTCGCCTTACAGGTTGCATGAAAAGTTCGCGGAGCGAAACTGAAATAAAGAATACCAAATTCTAAATATGATTTTATTCTTCAATATAGTCTCCATTAACTTCAATACGCTTGACCCAATGGCTCTCCGATAATTTTATTCCATCGCGGAGGGTGAGTGTACGACTTTCGTTTGGTTAAGACGTATTTCTTGAGTTATTTCTTTATTGTGATCAATTCGTCGTTTTTACGACGAAATCCTTGCGATTTTATAGTGTTTCTATTTGGATATAACCCGGCATTTTTCTTTGACTTTAAGTCTGATCTATTTAGTGATTTTATTCGAAATATTTGAATTTGATAATCCTAGCTGACTTAGTATCGCCATTTTGGACATAGCTACGCACAATGGACAAAGAACAGAACACGATACAAATGACTATCGAATCCTCCATGAATAGCACGGAAATAACTGTCGACGAAAACCAAGTACCTCAGACACAATTAATCACAGGTAAGGTTATCTCGTCTGATTCAGCCAACAATCTGGGCAAATATATTCCAGAAAACATCTGCAAATACATGAAGAATTCATATGAGAAAAATGTTAACGGTCCATTCGAAGTACACTTTGAAAAAGTGTATAATAACAGAGCTATATCTAATAAAAGTTTCAGTGAGATTAAGATAGGAAAACTGATTAATCAAGCAATGCCTGACTTATGGAAATTCGCTTTCAACTTAAAGAATATGGGATCGTATAAATTCTCTGTTACGTTCCCAGATCCGTTGATTGCTAATAGATTTGTTACCCGCATGACAAAAGTTGGTAAGGTGATTGCTGATAAGACTTTCTGAGTAGCTTACATACCGGAATACCGTGTTTCTACGAAAGTCATTACTAAGGATATAGATTCTTCGGAGATGCCAGAGGAAATTATGAATAATTTACTTCCTCCTCCCTTTTGGAATGGAGACTGGCCATAGTTATTAGAGGTTAAATTTATTCCCAGGAGAATATAAGATCCTAAGGATTCGAATTCCACTATCATAGTGAATTCTAATATTCTGATTCTTACATTTAAGAGTAATAGCCAACCAAATGCTGCACTATATATGGGGAAAAAGATTAGATTTTCACCGTACATTCAAAAAGTAAAAAGGTGCTACAACTGTCAGCGTTTCGGCCACTTGATTGCTCAATGCAGGGGTGGAGAACAAGGCAGATTCTGTGCATCAAAAGACCACAACATTGGAGATTGTAAAGAGAACAAAAATGCTTGCATTAATTGCATTCGACATAAGATGTCATCATTTAATCATAAGGCTAATGACCCAAAATGTCCTATTTTTATAGAATGCAGACAACTGAAAGTAATAATGGCCAAACTAGGGCTAGGTCCTAGTGATGCTTTGAACTTCTATAAACAAGTAGGTTCACGACTTCCTGATGAATGGTTGGAGGGTGGCACTCGAAGAGAGGACGACCTTCCTACATTTGGAAATTTTTTACCCTGGTTTACTGGGCAACCTTCTTTGATGCAGAACTCACTAGATCTTGGAATGACTTCGATAATAGCTGAAGGAGATATAAACCAGATTAAGGAACCCTAAGAAGACTTCCAGGACAAAATCGTCCAGGAGAATTATTAAATATAACAGTCCTGAGCTCTAAATTTATAATTTAGCTGTTCACCTAGCTATATTCATACTAAACGAAATCCTTAGATTTTTAAGATATATCATTATGGCAAAATTTTCCAATTCAAACTTTAAACCTCTTAGTATTCTTCAGTGGAATTGTCGCTCCTTGAAAGCTAGGTTAAACGACTTGTTTTCTTCATTAAATAATATAGAACACCTTCCAGACTTTATGTCTGACGAAAACATGGTTAAAGGACTTAGATTCAGTCAACATAGGTAACTATAGACTGATCACTCATAATAGAAACTCCACTGGTGGAGGATTAGCCATCGCATGTCGCAATGGTATTAACTTTACTTTAATTAATATTGATGCACTCAATCACATTTGTAACAATTATAATATTGATTGCTGTGTGATTCGTTTTACTTTTATACTTTTTACTCTCCTCTATTTCTATTCTATTTCTATTAGTTTCACTATAACCCTCCTAACAATAACTTATCCACTGCAGGTTCTGATACAAGTGCTTGGGAGGATATTTTTCATTGCTTTGATAACTTTGATAATGTTATTATTATTGGTGATTTAAATTGTAAACACCCGATATGGTGTAGGGCTACTTTGCATCCTAATCTCAATGGAACAAATCTTTCAGAAGCCATTTCGAACTCCATCTTTGGAATTTGTAATAATGGTTATCCAACCTGGCATTCTGCTGACCTTGCCAAGTTTAGTGCTGTTGACCTCACACTTGTATCTCCATTATTTATGAATAACTTAGGATGGGAGAATTTGCCTAATTCCTATGGCAGTAATCATTATCCCATTATTATTAACTTTTCCAATATTTCACCTAGTAAATATTTTTGCAGACCTCACTACTCTCTCTCAAAAGTCGACTGGAATAAGTTCAACAACCATATGAACTCTTCACCTAAACGGAAAACCCTCCTTCACTTGGAAAGATACCCGGAACCAGCTACTGCATATGAAGACTTTACACAGCTTGTTGATGACTCTTTGCAATCTGCTGGAGCTCGAGTTAAGAAATCAGTTGGCTTCTCTCGAAGACCTCCTTCTCCATGGTGGGATGAAAATTGTACCGAGATTATTAAACCCAAGATTGCTGCTTATCACGAGTTTAAAAAAACACCCTTCTAGTGAGAATTTGGAAATACAATGATATTTGTAAGGTAGGGGAATTTTGTTCTTCACTAAATAAGGATTCGGATGTTAAAAATGTTTGGAATACGGTATCGGTTTTTAAGAAAAAGAAACACCTTTCGAACATAAATGTCGAATCATCTGAGGATAGTTTGATTATAGCTATGGATACCTTTAACAAAGCTGTTTCAGATAGTTTACCTAATATTGTAACACCCTCTTTCTCAAGAGATAATAGTAAAGTCAATAATATATCATGCTCATCGCCTTTTATTAATCATCATAGAGACTGTCTAATCCTTCATGAAGATTTCAGCATTGAAGAATTCAACCTGGTTATTCAAAATAATCTTAAAAAAAAAGAAAAATAAAGCTCCGGGGCCCGACCTTTTATCTTTCCGTATCCTCTCACACCTATCGTCTTGGTGTTTTGACTTTATTTATATTCTGTTTAACAATTTCTTTCGAAGGGGTATTTATCCCCAATCTTGGAAGCAATTTTATATGATTTTCATACCAAAGCCAGGATCTAATAACTTATGTCCAATATCACTTGCTAATACCTTGTGCAACGGGATTTTCGCTCGCCGTCGGCAAACGGCCGTCGGTCCACGCGCCTCGGTCGTCCGCGCTCGCACCAAAGAGTTGGGCGCCAGGTGCAGCGGGCTGCACCGTTCACCAACACGAAACGGTACACCACCCAAGGCCGAGACACGCGGATTCGACGGGACCGGTAGCTCCGCAGTATTTTATAGTCGGTAGACGGGAGGGTTCGATCGGGAATCCGGGATTTAGTCGGGAAGACACAAGAATCGAGACGCGCTTCGCTTATCTCAGTCTTTATTCTTTCGGGGATCGGCACGATCCGACCCCTCGATACGGTACACTCCGCGAGACGCTCTCGCGAATTCGAAACTTGCTCCACGCCGCTAACTAATACGAGACTCAATACGTGGGTAACACCGATACTATAAGGCAAGTGGACGGTCTTACAAATGCGGGGACCTCCCGGCGGCGTGAACTCTCCGTCTCCTTCCTTGGGGTGCCCCTTCCGAAATTCTGCCATCAGCGGTAATCCTCCGGCACAGGGAAATCCACCAACTCCGTCGTTCCCCTGGTTCCAGCACTCCACCCCGGCACACGGTATCCTTTCTCACTTCGCTCAAGCTTGTCACCCGTCTCGCCCACGATAATTCTCTTGCTCTCGTTTTCGGTAATCGACTCTCTGAGTAAAACGGTAAAAGAAGTAAAAGAAGAAGTAAAAAGAAGAAGCAAAAGAAACGGGAGTGTCCTCTTTTATTTCGTTGGTGTTTGTCGTGCTACCCGTCTTTCCCCGTTCTTCGTCGTATCTCCCGATACGGGAATCCTTCCGCGGATCTTTGTTTTCGATCCGCGGGACGGGTGCTTGGTCTCACTCTTGCTCGTTCTCTCTCTCTCTCTCTCGCACTCCCGCTGTCTCTTTGTCTAGACCGGCTTTGTCTAGCCGGCGTTCACGCTTCGAGCACGGGAACGCCGACCGTTTGGCGCGATATCCCTGCGGGCCTGTGGACAACGGAATCGGCAGCGAGAATCTTTCACTACGATACGGAATCGATAATAGTATTCGTAAAGAAGTGCATTCACCTGGGGTGGCGATCTGGCCGAGGGGTGTCGTCCTCTTCCTTCCTCCACGGGTCCCTCCGGTCTTGATGGGCGGCGCAGGAGGTCCAGGGGCACAGAGCTCGGGGAAGCGGGACCGTTCCACCCGCACGCTCCTATCGCTAACACTAATTAATGCGGGGGAGTGCAAGGTGGCGCTCCCCCCCCGTAATTCTCGCGCGATGTACTGTCCGCCCCCCCGCACCCTCGCATAAGGGCCGAAGGTTCGGCCTGGGACGGGCGCCTTTCCGGCTGCCACGTCACACTTGCTAAAAATATTCGAATATCTAATAAAAAACCGTCTTGAATGGTGGGTTGAAGTTCATAAAATACTACCATCATATCAGAATGGATTTAGACGAGGTAGATCATGTACTAATAGTGCTCTTGCGTTAAAAACTTATATTTGTAAAGCCTTCAAAGACAGGATGTTAGTGGGTGCCGCTTTTATTGATCTTAAAGGTGCTTTTGACAATGTCAATCCCTATAAGTTACTCCATATTCTTAGGGATTTTGGTATTCCTAACAAAATACTTAAATTTATAGCTCACCTACTAACTAATAGATGTGTTTCTGGATACTATGGAGGACACTTCCTGGGTACGCGCATCAGTTCTTTGGGTGTTCCACAAGGCTCAGTTTTGAGTCCCTTATTATTTGATTTATATATTGCCAATATTCATTCAGATTTAGATGACTCGATTGAAATCATGGCTTATGCCGATGATTTAGTTATCTTTACCAAACACAAGAGCATCAACAAGATAATCCAAATTCTCAACTTAAATATCAAAACTCTTATAAAAAGCCTTTCTAGATTTGACCTGGAAATTTCCACCGATAAAACTGAATGGTGCCTATTTGACAAATGCAACATTTTAGACGTTGCAATCCTATATTAATCACAATGGGCTAAGGCTCCAACTAGATATTTCTATTATTCCACTCATTCCCAGTATATCATTTCTAGGTTACACGTTCGATACTAATTTATCTTGGAAACCGCATGCTATTAAACTTAAAATTGCCTGTCAAAAACGTATTAACTTACTTAAATATTTCGCAGGAATAGGATGGGAATCTCACCCAAATACGCTCCTTACGATTTATAAAGGTTTAATTAGATTCCTATTGGATTGGGGTGGGATAATTATGACTGAGGCCTCAGAGAAAATAACACTACAACTCGAAAGAATTCAGTATAGTTGCATTAGAATAATTTTAGGAATAATGAGATCCACACCTACCAATATACTTTTGGATCAAGTTGCAGAATGGCCGCTTGTGTATTGGTGGAAGTTTCTTGAACTCAAAACATATATCAGAAGCCTCACAGTTGTAACGAGGAGTTTTACCCCCGTTACTATCGTGTGACGGCGACCACCGATCGTCACACGATCGCGAGAAATCATCGCCAAGCGCCCGGCAACACCTATGCCGCGGCAATCCGCCAGACCGCCGGAAAAAGCCGAATTCTGCGAAGCGGTCGGGGAAGATCGGTCCCCCCAGAAAGGGGTAATTCGCGAAAATCGCATGCGCGACTTTCCGGGAAATCGGGGGGAACTAATCCCCCGATTATCGGCCACCGATCGTCGAGAGGAATTTAGGGTATAAAACCCGCTTTCGACGAGAGATCGAGGCAGACCGTGAGAGACAGTGAGTCCACCAGATCAGCTACCAAGGAGAGCTCCAGCGAGAATCGTGAAGAGAAGTCGACGAGAAGGCAAGGCATCCGCCAGTGAGTAAAGCTTCCACACCGTACCGAACCACCGGAAACTTTTACAAGACCCGGCAGCCGAGCCTCGTCGGCCGACCAGGCATCGCGACTTTACCGTACTTGTCCGTCTGTGTCGGCAGCAGTTAGCCACCGGCACAGAATATCTCTAAATATCCGTTTGCGAATTTACCGTATTCGTCCGTCTGTGTCGGCAGCAGTTAGCCACCGACACAGAATAATTCTAAGTATCTGTTCGCGAGATTACCGTATTCGTCCGTCTGTGTCGGTAGCAGTTAGCCACCGGCACAGAATATTTCTAAGTATCCGTTCGCGGATTTATAAGTGCTCGTCCGTCTGTGTCGGCAGCAGTTAGCCACCGGCACAGAATATTTCCAGGTATCTGTTCGGGATTTATACATGCTCGTCCGTCTGTGTCGGCAGCAGTTAGCCACCAGCACAGAATATTTCTAAGTCTCTGTTCGCGAATTTACCGTATTCGTCCGTCTGTGTCGGCAGCAGTTAGCCACCGGCACAGAATATTTCTAAGTATCTGTTCGCGGATTTATACGTGCTCGTCCGTCTGTGTCGGCAGCAGTTAGCCACCGACACAGAATATTTCTAAGTCTCCGTTCGCGAAATTACCGTATACGTCCGTCTGTGTCGGCAGCAGTTAGCCACCGGCACGGAATAGTTCTAAGTATCAGTTTTCGAACGAACGGCAGCAGTTAGCCGCCGTTCCGCGATTTCTAAGTGTACATCCGTCTGTGTCGGCCGCCGTGGCCACCGACATCGAATATTTTCTAAGTTTCTGTGCGCGGATATCAGTGCTCGTTCGTCTGTGTCGGCAGCAGTTAGCCACCGACATAGAATAATTTCGAAGTTCTGTTCGTGAATATAAGTGCTCGTTCGTCTGTGTCGGCAGCAGTTAGCCACCGACATAGAATAATTTCGAAGTTCTGTTCGTGAATATAAGTGCTCGTTCGTCTGTGTCGGCAGCAGTTAGCCACCGACACAGAATATTTCTAAGTATCTGTTCGCGGATTTATATGTGCTCGTCCGTCTGTGTCGGCAGTAGTTAGCCACCGGCACAGGATATTTCTAAGTATCTGTTCACCGATTTACAAGTGTTCGTCCGTCTGCGTCGGCAGCCGTTGGCCACCGACGAAGAATATTTCCGAAGTATCTGTTCGCGAAATCATCAGTGCTAGTCCGACTTTGTGACCGTGGTGAGCTGCCCGGAATAAACCACCTCCAACTTATCCAGAGGACAATTGGCGTAAATCGCCCTCAACAGGACTCATGGCCGAGGACGTCGGACTGCCACGAGGCCGCGGGACATCCCCTCTGACCCCGCGGACAGGGGACCGTCCTTGCGGGCTAAGCGGGGAGTCACGGGCACCGAGGAACGAACATCGCCGACGCCACACCGGGACAGCGAGCCGCCCACATACACTTATATATATATATAGCCTATCTTGTTTTGTTCTTTTTAAATAAACAGGGTGTCTCGCGCACCACCTTGGTTAATATCTCAAACGCTGAACACACCATTTCTTCCGCGAAGCTACCTTGAACTACCTTTTCTACGAAAACCAGCCCTTCACCCGAGTAACGCACCGACGCGGCGGCGAGCGAAGCATCGCGGAAGCGGCGAGCCGGGCGCGACGGTGGGGCGACCGATCGCACCGAACCCCGCGGGCGTTACCGTTACACAGTTGACAAAAGCCCTTTGACTAAGTATGTTGAAGATTGGCAGAATTCTTGTGTGAATACTGTTAATCATCCAAATGAAGCTTCGTGTAGATCTTCCTTTCTAACCACTATACAATCTTCTAGTAAACTCATTCGAATGCTAAAGAATAACTATCTCCCATCTTCTTTTGAGTATCCATTTAAACTTAGATTTTATATACCTAACATTTGTGTTAACTTATTTGACAGTATAAAAGGGTTTAACAGAAAGAGAGGTAATCTTTGGTTTGACTGTAATAACAAAAAAATATCGGCGGAAGGGTTGGTTAGAAGGGCGAATAGTATTATATGACATGAATTTATCCATGGAAATCTATACAGATGGATCGGTTCTAAATGACCGCAGTGCTGGTTACGGGATATATGCTCCAAATCCCGAATACAGAGAATCCATCCACACCTTTGAATCCAACAATATCTTTTATGTAGAATCTATGGCCATACTCCGGGCAGTGACTATTGCTGCAGCTGAAAGACCGAACAAAGTTGGTATTTTCTCAGACTCTTTCAGCACAGTTAACGCACTAAATTCTCCTGATCTGGATGGTAAGTCACACCGCATTATACAGAGAATCAAATTTTCCTTGTGGCAAACCTCAAGAGAAGGATGTAATATTGTCCTAGCATGGATTCCTGGATATAAGAACATACCAGGCAATGAAATGGCAGATAGGTTGGCGGGTCTAGAGGCCCGCAGCTCTGAATACCCACTTGAACAACTATCACCGCCATGGATAGGGGACTTTATTGATGACTTTAAAAACACAATCAAGCAAGAAGCAAATGATTTTATTGAGAAGGAATTTACTCACAAAGGTATAAAATATAGAGCTAACACATCTGAACTTGCATCGAAACCTTGGTTCAAAGATTTGGGAATCATCGATAGAAACGTAATTACTCTTATGGCTCGGCTCCTACCACATATGCACAACGAAGCATCTAAGGAGGAAACTCAACATAATAGACATCTGTCAATGTGGATGGCATAACAGGGATATAGATCATATTCTGTACAGATGTCCTATTTTTGCTACAGAATCTGACAGTCTCTTACTGAAATTATATTATAAGGGAGATATTGCATATAACCAAGATCTGGAAAAATCAGCTTTTAATACCAAACTTATTCCAAGTTTCGTTGAAATATCCAGATTTCTGAAGATTACTAACCAGATGTTGTAAACACTTCCTTATGATTTTATATAACAAGTGAGTGGCGTCGGAGCATCTGTGGTGTGTACAGAGCCATATATTGAAGAAGAAGAAGACTCCATCGCGGAAGTATGTTTCTGGAAAGTCTACGAAATATGCCTCTACGGCTGCTATAGCTTCTTCATTCGACAAAAAATGCTTTCCACGGAGGAATTGTTTCAGATTTCGGAAGTCGCTTGGTGCCAAATCTGGCGAATACAGTGGATGATCAAGCAATTTGTACTTCAATTCATTGAATTTAAACATTGACAAAACACTTTTGTGAGTAGGTGCATTATCTTGGTGAAAAATGATTTGTTTGTGCTGCAAACCAGGTTGTTTCTCACGAATTTTTGCGTCCAATTGATCCACAAGGTTACAATAATATTCATTTCATAATAACATTCATATTAAGAGTTAATTGTTTTACTTTTTTCTAGATAGTCAATTAACAAAATCCCTTTAGCATCCCAAAAAACTGATGCCAAACCTTTTTTGCCGATCTTTCATGCTTTGTTTGCTTTACAGCTGAACATCCAGCTTCAGTCCACTGTAAACGTTCCTGTTTCAATTTAGGATCATGGTGATAGATTCAAGTCTCATCCATAGTTATAAAACGACGCACAAAATCGGTTTTATTCTTCTTAAAACGACCCAAATGATGCTGAGAAATTTGCTTTCGAGCGAGTTTTTGTTGAATTGTTAACGTATGCGGCACCACTTTTCCAAATACCTTTTCCATTTGTAATTCTTTATGCAAAATATACCGTAGCCGTTCATTTGAAATGCCTATAGTATGAGCAATTTCACGCGTAGTCACACTTGGATCTTCAGAAACAATAACATGTATTTGCTCAATGATTTCTGGTGTTGATGTGCTTTTTGGACGTCCACTGCGTGGATCATCTTCAATGCTTGTACGACCACGTTAAAAGTGCCCATTTACAAACCATTGTTTTTGAAAGAGTAGATTCCCCTAACACATTTACCATCTCGGAATGAATTTCTATTACCTTTAAACCTTTTTTAACAAAGAACTCAATCACTGCATGCTGTTTCAAATTTTCCATTGCAAACAAATATACTGACATGTCAACTTCAATTAGCTTGTAAACACAGAAAGAATTAACAGATGGAAATGAAATCTAACCTAGGTTCATGTGAAGAATAATTCTATATAACCGACCTACAATTTATAATTCTACCGTTTATTTATAGATGGCGCTCCGCGAACTTTTCACGCAACCTGTAGTAACTACCGTAGTTAGTGCAGTCTCGAATCTGATTAGAGTATATTTTTAGATCTAAAAGAATATACCATTCGAATCAAAGAATTCACTAACTACGGTTGTACTAATCCGGGACTGCGTTCCGTTTCACGCATTATGCGCGCATTTCCTACAGTATACGTAAAACCAGTGGCACACGGTGCTTGTTTTCATGCTGAATTACTTGCTGGATGAAAATACTGCGTTCTGATTGGTGCATTTCCGAAGATGGATGGAAATGCACCAATCAGAACGCAGTATTTTCATCCAGCAAGCAATCCAGCACAAAAACAAGCACCGTATGCCGCTGGCTTTATATGAACTATATATAAATGCGTGAAACGGAACGCAGCCCGGATTAACCTTACCGTGTAAGGCCCAGTTCAACAAAATCAAGTTTAAACCGTGATTATCTGAACTGACGTTACATTTAACGGCATGGTTAAACTTATATCGCGTTCCACATCATGTTTTTAACTGTAGTTTACTTAAACCTATAGTCTGTATGAAGAAACTGTCAAAGACTTCTCTTTTTTTTCAAACGTAGAGTATGATTGGTTATTGCTAATAGTGAAAAGAGGGAAAATTGAAATAAATTGGATGCTATGACATCTAGGCTGCGTTCTGAAATTCACTGCCAGTACTGAAAATACATAGATTGTGTCATGTATACTATAGATTTTCAGTACTGGCAGTGAATTTCGGAACTCAGCCCTAGTAGAGAACAATATATCTGTTTCGTATGAAGTAAACATTAACCAACATTAATATTTGCTGTATTTGTATATAAGTATTAATTTATTAAAAGGTGGAAGTCCAGTGTTAATAATAATCAATTGGTTTATATTATTGATTTGATTGCATTTATCATATAATAATTGACTTTTATATATAGTTTTATACTCTGTTTTAGAATATAATCTATCGAAGCAAAAAACCGAATATTTTAAATTAAATTTATATACTTACTGTTCTGTTTTATGAGAAATTTCATGCTCGATTTCTGCTAGAACTGCAATAACAGATTCTTTTGATAATCTAAATCGTGCATGAAAATCGACATTATCAAATTCTTCCAAATATGATGGTCGTCTTATTCTTATATTTCTTGTCCGTCGATAAATTAGGTTTTCAAAATCTTCATCTTTAGATGAAGATAATATGTATTCTAAAGCCATATCTCTTTGGTGTTCAAATGTTCAAAATATTTGTCAACTGACTCCAAAACCGGGATAGTCATAAATTTTTTTCTTAAATTGATGGTACTGCAGTGTTAAACTTCGTTTAAATTCATTAAACGCCCAAAGTTTTGGGTTTAACTTTAACTGTGAGAAATCAACGTTAACCATGGTTTAAGGCAGTTGTGGAACGCAATTTTTCGTCTAAACTAGGGTTAACGAGTTAAACTTCGTTTACAGTAAGTTGTGGAACCGGGCCTAACTGTGAGAAATCAACGTTAACCATGGTTTAAAGCAGTTGTGGAGCGCAATTTTTAGTTTAAAGCCAGCGGCACACGGTGCTTGTTTTCGTGCTGGATTGCTTGCTGGATGAAAATACTGCGTTCTGATTGGTACATTTCCGAAGATGGATGGAAATGCACCAATCAGAATGCAGTATTTTCATCCAGCAAACAATCCAGCACGAAAACAAGCACCGTGTGCCGCTGGCTTTAAACTTCGTTTACAGTAAAGCTAAGACTCCATGCATGCGGTGAGCTCCGGCAAACGGCTGCGGTGACCAATCAGGAGACAGACGCATGCCGGAGCTTGCTGCAACCGGACTTGCGCCTCCCTCCTGATTGGTCACCGCAGCCGTTTGCCGGAGCTCACCGCATGCATGGAGTCTTAGCTTAAGTTGTGTAACCAGGCCTAAAGCTAAGACTCCATGCATGCGGTGAGCTCCGGCAAATGCTGCGATGACCAATCAGGAGGGAGGCGCAAGTCCGGTTGCGGCAAGCTCCGGCATGCGTCTGTCTCCTGATTGGTCACCGCAACCGTTTGCCGGAGCTCACCGCATGCATGGAGTCTTAGCTTAAACGTAGTTATCGTTTCAAGAGGAGTAGCAGCTCTCATCTTTCTCGAGTCGGGATGCATCCCGAAAGTCATTAAAAAAAAAGTGACAACCTTTATGTCCGCGACCGTATACTTTTCGGAGTCATGTATTGAGTCGGAGTTAGCAGTCTAGTTATACTATAAAAGTCTGTGCCCGGTGGCCGCTCTCAGGTTTCTCTCTGATTAAAGTGAGAAAAAATATAGTTGTCCCATTCTAACTTATTGCATTAGTTCCGCAGTGCAGCTAAAAAGAACAGACCATATAGCTGTGTTCCAAAATTCACTACTGCCTCGTCTACAATAGAAGTCGTAGAGTCGTAAGTCGTAGAAATTGACCAATCATGGTCCGGTAAGAAAAAAATACTCGACTGCGATTGGTCAATTTCTACGACTTACGACTCTACGACTTCTATTGTAGACGAGGGCTGTACTGAAATACATGGTTTGTGACACGTATATTACAATTTTCAGTGCTGGCAGTGAATATTGGGACACAGCCTATCAAATTTGTGACGTATTGCGACGTAGTTGACGCGTGCGCAGGAAGTTCGGTAGGACTAAATGCTTCCAACACTTGGTCTGTTCTTTTCAGCTGCACTGCGGAACTAGTGCAATAAGTTAGAATAAGACAACTATATTTTTTCTCACTTTAACTTATTGCACCAGTTCAGTAGTGCAGCTAAAAGGAACAAACCAATTGACTGGGCACTGAGCTTATGTCAAACAAGCAATGCAAATGGAAGCACCCATGGTAACGTTGCAATCCCTCCCCTTAACGCAGCTGGAGAATGACGTATGGGTACGCCTTTCTACCTAAAGCCATATACCGAACTGAACTGAACTGGTAAAGCAAAATATGAATGACGTATAGGTTACTGTTCTGATAAATAGAGTTAGAAATTGTTGGTGACTCGTTATAATAATTTTTTGTGAAGTTTATGCTTAATTGTTCTGGTGACGTTCACTACAATGCTACACATTGTTTCGACATCGTAATTTATTGCTTTTATGGGTAAGTAACAAATATTGTCAGCCTTTTTTATTTTACCCAATGTATATTTGGACGCATTTTTCAGATACATGGAAGGAAAAATGTCAGAGTCGGAAATAACGTTTGATGAGGAACTCTCGGCTGATTTATTCTCAGACGTAGAATTATCAACGAGCGTTAACAATGCTGTCAATTCGGACTGTAAGAATTCGCTCGTACATATATATTAAATCTATCTTCTTTATTTTATACTTTTAATATTCAAATATCAAATTTCTTGAAGCAAGTTCTATGTCTACTGGCATTAACGAACCAGAGCCCTCAGATGATATACCAGAATGGAAAGGTATGAGCATGAGTGAGATACGTAAGGGTCTTGATATATATGAACACCAAGAACACCCACCAATTGTTGTTTCTCCTCGCCACACAGTATTATTTATGGTAAAGTTTAGAAATTAATATTTATGTCAATTTTCTTAAGTATTTTACATAAGCATGAACATCTGATTCATAATCTCTTCTTCGATTAGTTACCATTACCTGCACGTGGACCACCAAAACCATATCCTTCATATCAGACAGACAAATGGAGTCAGGGTTATGTACGAATGCCACATTCAGCACATAGCTTATACCCTATAGAACAGGTACATATTGTTTTGCGATGAAGAAAACTAATTATACTTAAAAGAATTAAGTTTTATTAACAATTCAGATTATAATATTTTACATCATCTTTTATTTCATTCTAGCTGATTGTTTTGATATTAATCAGAAATCTTCTTTTAGAAAAATGGAAGTCGTTGTTGTCGAAATAGATGGGAAATGATTCAGGAAGCTTTACTCAGGAGCATACTTTCTAGTCAACAACTAGAAGAAGCTATCCTCTCATATAATCAGATATATGCGCAACGTTGGAATTTCATGGCACTCCATTACTTTTTCTCAGAGGTATATAAAACAATATACGATACAATAACATATATGCTGTTTATTTAATTCTGCACTTAGATTCTGGACGAAGAGGAAACGACTATCTTCTTCGAAACTCTGATGCCAAAGATAGTGCAGCTTGCTCTGCAGCTCCCTATGTTGTTGACTGGTGCAGTCCCACTGTTAAAACGCCATACTAATGGATGCATTAGCTTGAGTCAATTACAAGTGGCTTCACTACTGGCGAACGCATTTTTCTGTACATTTCCTCGACGCAATTCCAGTAATCCGCAATCGGAATATGCATCGTATCCTCATATTAACTTCAACAGGTAGCAATTTGAACAGTTCCATAGGACATCATCGAATTATTCGGTAGAATATCTTTCTTTTCTTCAAATTATTGAGATGTCTTAGATTACAAACTATAATATAAATATATATACAGTGAGTGAGAGTGAATTTTAAATGAGCCAGGCAAAAATCTCGAAAAATATGAGATATTAAAAAACGTTTCAGACAAAAATTGTATGGTTTCAAAGGGGATATAAAACAACTCTACTATTTTGTTTACAGATGGTGCCACTTTCGAAATATTCACTGATCATTTTTCTTAAATATAAACCCCAAGTTTTTATTATATCATTTTTTTTCTACCAATTAATCTTAATAACTTTTGTCTGAAACATATTTTTATTTGCCTAATATTTTAGGAAAACTTAGGAGATATTTAAGGAGAACTTAATAACTTTTTCAATATTTAACTTACGATATTTTGCTAACTATTTGTCGGAAGTAAAAATGATACTAGATACTTTTTTACTTTATTTGGTCTCAAGAATATATTGTTATAAGAGCATCTTGACTTTTGTTATGATTGTTATGATTTGTTAATTAATATTATAATTTGACTATTTATTTATAATTATAATATTATAATATAATTATAATTTGACTGCTATAATGTGATGATTTTGAAATTTCCAAAAGTCGATAAGTTAACAAAAGTTAGGGCACTATTGTAACAATCTATTCTTGAGACTAAATAGAATAAAAAAGGTCTAGTACTATTATTTCTTTCAACAAATAGTTAGCGATATATCGTAAATTAAATGTTGAAAAAGTTATTAAGTTTTTCTTAAATATCTCAATAAATATTAAATAAAAAAATGTTTCAAACGAAAGTTGTTCAAATTAATTGGTAGAAGAAAAATAGTATAATAAAATATTGGGATTTCCATTTAAGAAAAGTAATAATTAGCGAATATCTAAAAAATGGCATTATCTATAAACAAAATAATACAGTTGTTTTATGTCTCCTTTGAAACCATATAACTTTTATCTGAAACGTTTCTTGATATCTTTCATATTTTTCGAGATTTTTGTCTGGCTCATTTAAAATGGGACACCCTAAAGAAGATGAACCAATTTGATTAATTGAATTCTTTTCATAAATCTCTACGAATTAGATGTGTGTACCTTATATACCATATTGATTGTATATTGCAGATTGTTTGCTGCTTACAGTGAAGAGAGGCATAATCGATGTACAGCAGTGATGGAGAAGATCAAATGTCTATTTCATTACTTCAGGAGAGTAACATCTAAGGGTGGGCACATATCCAATTATAATTATATTTTATGCAAAATTTTTTCATATAGTTTGTTTATACGAGCATGATAATAAAATTTGACATAGGACTCGAATTACGTTACGATTTTTACATAGAACAGCACCTGAAGGTATAATAACAATCGAGCGACGTTACATTCCTCTGGAAGATTGTCCGAAATGGCAGTCGTTAGATAAGAAGCTACCTGTGTTGCATATAACGAGCAAAGGCACAATCGAGAACGAGGGAGCTGGGCTTCTCCAAGTTGACTTTGCAAATAAGTGAGTTTTCGTATTATACGTATATTTTATTTATTTGTCTTTGATACAATACATTAGGAACCAAAATAAGAAATAATATAAAAAAAGAAAATTTTGTTAAAAGAATATATCGTAAACTTACAATATATTGAACTTTTAGTGACTGATAATAATAGATTTGAAAGTTGATTTAAAAATTCATTAATTTTGTTTTTTTTTCTTATCGAAATAGGTATGTCGGCGGCGGTGTGCTGGGCTTAGGCTGCGTACAAGAAGAAATACGTTTTGTCATATGCCCGGAACTTATGGTCACCATGCTGGTTACGGAAGAGTTGGACGACACGGAAGCGCTCGTCGTCAGTGGTATAGAGCGATACAGCAAGTACGAAGGTTATAGCAGCACTTTCAAGTGGAAAGGGGATTTCGTCGACGAGACCCCGAAAGACAGCAGTGGCAGGCGTATGACGTCAATCGTCGCCATTGACGCCCTTTATTTTAAACAATCCTCGCTGCAGTTCAACATTAACAACGTGACTCGTGAACTTAACAAGGTTTGTTTGCTCAGCTGCGATATAAATATTACATAATCAGAAAAAAGATATGGATAGCGAGGAAATGTATGCTCTACATCGCAGGCTTACGTCGGATTCGTCGGTTCTGACGTGAATAAGGATAATCTGTCCGCCATTGCGACGGGCAATTGGGGATGCGGAGCGTTTCACGGAAATCCGAAATTGAAGGTGCTGATACAATTGATGGCCGCGGCGGTTGCTGGTCGTTCTATGGTGTACTTTACCTTTGGGGACACGAATCTAAGAGACGAGGTGGCGACGATGTACGCGCATCTGATGCAACATGACATTGACACAGGTAAGAACGTTACTAACGCTGTTGTAATTGGGAGAAGTTTAACTTCGTATGCTTCACGCATCAATTTCATCTGTTCGCAGCGCGGATCTACTCAATGCTGTCGGAATATCATCGAGAATCCACTTTGAGCGCTCGTTCGGATTTTTATCGTTTCTTATATAACCGTAGCAAGATGAAATCCTTGAGCAAGTATTTCCCGACGAAGATTGAAAATTCCACGGCGAAAATCTCTACCGGTTATCCGAAGGATACGTTGCTTAAAAGCAACAAAGACTCGGCCATGTCAAATAAAGCGGCCGAGAACAAGCGATATCTTTATTCCAGAGTTAAGGAAGAAGAAAAGGCGGAGGAGGAAAAAATATTGAATTGGTTGGCGAGTTGCGACAGCGACAACGACGACACCGTGAAACCTGAGACGGAGACAAAAAGTCTGTATAACGAGAAGACCAAAGACAACGTGGAACGAGCGAATAATTTGAGAAACGGAGACTCGTGCGAGAATCATTCGGTGGATAACGTTCTCGACGCGACGAACGAGAAACGGTTGGCAGGCAAAGATAAAATATTGGATTCCTTCAAAGTCAACATGAATTCCTCGAATCCGAAAGAACCAATTATCCAGCCTCCTCAGGACACGTCGAAAAAGATCAAGTCCGAGTTATCGCTGCTGAGGGATACCGCGGAATTACGGGACAATGAGTCCCTGAAAATCATGGCGGACTGCTTGCCGGAATTGCGCTCATTGAGATCACCCTCGAGGAAGAACGGCCAAAGGAAGATATCGGAATTTTTCCAGCGTACGTTGTAAATATCGAAAAATAGCGCCGCGACCTTGACCCTGCAACCTTTCGTCCTTTGTGCGACTTTTATTTATAATTATATAAACATTTCTTTTTTAATTCATGTCAATTTCGAAACAAAGTTACAGGATATAATGTAAATAAAATTCTGCCTGAGCTGACTGCCCGTTTCATCCTTCAGCCGATTCAATCGATCCTTGTCTGCGAAATCAAACTTCTCAGCAACGAATTTCCCGACAGAAACGGCGCATAATGGTTCGAACGGCGAAAAACGCGAAAAATAATCAAATTTTCGAGTTTGTTCTAAAACTTCGAAATTTTTATGTTATGTTCTTCCACTAATAAGCTATCAACTGAATTACACGCCATTTTCCAAGGACTTATTTAAAAAGTTTTATCGGACATAAAAGTATTTAACATTTTATGACTAAGTTAAGTGCTCAATTTTACTACTGAAATTCGAACCTTTTAAAATTTGATATTTTTTTTCATTATTGAAATGTAGTAACGTGGTTTATAAATGTTTATAAGTATACCTCAATGTATAAAGTTACATGTTTGAAACATATCAATTATTAAATACATTACAACATTATATATAATAAGAGTACTTAAAACTTGAACAATTTTCGAATTAAATTTTCTGTACGAAATGAAGGGATGCTTAAGAACGAAAAAAATTATAAATATTTAATATAATATTCAAAGAAAATAGGTAACTTTAATTTGGCTGCAGTTACTTGCAATTTTTCAAATAACAATTTTTCGATGCCGACGCGCGCTAATATCGCGTTGTTTCTCTAGGCCTCGCGCCGTCTCACTTACGCCCGCGACATCTCGCGCGAAATCTCACCGTTTCTTTCGCGAGGAGCGCGAAAATCTCGCTCGTACGAGATAGCGCTCTAAAAAGATAAAAATAATCTAGTTATTATGATAATAGTAATAGTAATATATCTTATACGTGTAGTTCAATTAAATATGCGGTATTATTTAAAAAAGAAATTATAATTTTTCAAGTTAATGCATTTAAGTTCCTTACTTTTATAGTAATAAATGATAAAATATTAATAAATTTACAATATTTATCAAATAAATATTTTTTTGCAAATTTTGTGTTTCGAACCACTGTGCGGCGTCTCGCTCGGCGGAGCGAAAGGGAAAGCGAAGAAGAATCCGCCCTTTAATGACAGCTCGTCCCTTTAAAACTCGCACTTGCGCGATCGCGCAAGCGCGAGCTTGACGGTCACGTGGATGCTTATCGACGTATCGCGTTGGACGTGCGCCGAAAGTGAACTGTCAAACGCGAAGATGGCCGCTACCACTGAAATATTAAAGTCTCTCGCCGCGAGAGCGATTTGCCAAAAGAAAATGTAGAATTTCCCGGCCCAGAGACGCGTCCCAGGTAATTTCCGAGCACGTAGCCGCGAGCGGCGACGCGACGCGCACCTGTCACTCGTTGCACCCCGTTGCAATCGACATTCGTGGGCGGTTTCGTGATGGGTGGTACGCGCGCGCGTGTGCGTGTGTGCATGTGTCGAGTGTGTGTGATGCGCGTATGAATGTGTACGCGTGTATGTCGATCCGCGCTGTGCTGTGTGTGATACCTCGTCGTCAGCCTGACGTTTTGAGAGCGGACGGACGGACGTAAATATCGAGCCGGATGCTCGCTGTATGGACGTATGGCGGGATGTCATTGATCCGTACATGTTGACCGCCGGTCAAGATCGGCCGAGAGCTCTTGACCAGACGTTAACGACGACGACGCAGCAGCAGCAGCAGCGGCAGCGGCGACAGCAACGGAGCTCTCCGATGTCGGAGCGATCGTTCCGCGCGAAGTCGTAACCATTTTCGTCGCGCTCCATGCTGTCTGACATGTTAACACTCGCAATGTTAGCACCAGACAAGTGTGACCGAACCTCGTACTTCCCCATCACGTTGGAGCACGTTATTATCGCACCATCAGCCGTTCCTCCGACCGCATCGCTTACCGCGTATCCTGCGTGCATGCATGCGTGCGTGCTGCATGCCGATCGCACGACCGAAGCAACGCGCTCCGAGTAACACGCACCCGCCTCTTCAATGTTTCACTCTCCTCATCGGCAACTTGCAATATGCACGGTCCGTCCTTTTGCGTCGTTCCTCGCCCACACGACCATCGTTCCGCGCTACGACGTCGTCGGCGACGATCACGGCTTCTCCTCGTCGATGCGTTAAAATTGCTTATTCGCATTATTGATCAGCTTTTGTATTAATCAGCTGTCAAAGAGAGTTAATTTCTCACATTTTCTGTTTCTTCTTCATTTCTGTTCTTTTCTCTTTTTACCAGCGGAATTCCAATGGATTATTCTTATCGTAATGTTCTCGCCACTCTTTACACCTATTTCTAGTGATAGTAGTAGCAACGGCGGCAACAGCGGTGGTAGTTCAGTGTTACTCAAGTGATATGTGTGTTGTTCATAGTGTTGGTAAACAGTTGATTTTTCACGCATTTTATGTTGCAGTTTTCTCGGTTGATGTCAATTAAAATGTTTTTTTTCCTTTTCGTTTTGTAGTTAATCTAAGAGAACACTGTTTTCTGAAAACACTAGAGGGATAAGAGACACACCGTGGTTAAGGATGAACTCCAAACTTTTTCAGCAAATCTTAAGTATGAACATAATGCGCAAATTACGAGGGGGTACCAGCGTCGGAGGTATGGGCTCGAGCGGTACCGGCGGTCTGGATGATTGCGCTGGGGGCGCCAATCCTCAGCACACTGCTCTGGGGCTTATGCACCTGAAGAAGTTGTTTTCCGAGTATACACATCCATCTCACCCACTCTCTGATGCTGAACGTGATGACAAATTGTACAACATGTTGCCATTGTTTTGCAAGGTAAACTGTACATGTACCAACGAATCTGAATTAGATCCAAAATATAAATGAAGATATCTTAAGGTCAAATGGAAGATATTTAGATGCTTGTTAGTATCTAAAAAAAACAAACTGTGTGATTCACAAAAATTTTTCTCAAGACATTTGTCTTCCTCATAGTCACATTCTTTGTGCTTCCAGGTATTTGGATCTAGTCCATCGGGAGATATGAATGAAAAGTTTTGGGACATTTTAGCGTTCACGCAACAAGTTTCAAGATTGATGGTATCAGAAATTAGGAGGAGGGCGAGCAATCAGAGCACCGAGACGGCGAGTTGTGCCATTGTAAAGTTTTTAGAGATTGAGAACAGCGAGGAGTCGAGTAATGGCTGGATGCTGTTGTCTGCATTGAACCTGTTAGCAGCGGGAGATACTTCTTTGATACAAGTACGGATCATCGGATCTCTCTAATCGATGTCTTTACTCCAATCTTATACATCACATCATCTGTATCTTTCCTAGGCCATGACCGCTGCCTCGGTTCCATCGACTTTGGTGAAATGTTTGTACCTCTTCTTCGATCTGCCCGAGATGAACGAAGAGGACGCTGATATTACAGACGCAAATAGTGAATTTACTCCTAGAGAACGTAGGATACTATTACAAAAAATATTTGTTCAGGTAACGATCTTGTTTAAGAGAAATGGTTCCCCGTTCGATCGACGCACAAACTCATTTGGGTCTTCATGACCGACTCACTTTCTCCTTCGCAGCTGTTGGTGAGATTATGTAGTCATCCGTATCCCGCGGAGGAACTTGCTCGTAAGGACGATCTCACCTTACTGTTCTCAGCAATAACCAGTTGGTGTCCGCAATATAATGTTATGTGGCGTAAGAGTGCCGCGGAAGTGTTAATGACCTTGTCTCGTCATGGTCTTACGCAGAACGTAGTAGCCTACATACATAGTGAGTTCAACATTCAATCACACTTTCGTTAAATCGAACTCTCTCCGGTCCAAATGATCATTTATCCGATACGTTTGATTGATCTTCTAGATAAAGGATGCATAGCACTCTGTATTGATAATATGCAACGTGTACCTGAGCTGGCACCATTAGAAGTTGTAGAAATGTTCGTGACAGTGTTCTGTTTTCTAAAGGATTCCAGTGAGGTTTCTCAGACATTGCTAGACGACTTTCGCGCTTGTCAAGGCTATATCTTCTTATCTGAGTTTCTGTTAAAGTAAGCGGATGTTTGACACGAATGGCTGTTGTTTGTAACGAGACGCACATCAAACACACATCATTTCTGTCACACAGACACGCGCCTTCGCGATTAGAGCAAGACAATAGAGCGGAAGCGCAAGATGCAATTCGAAATTTGGTACTAATGTTAGCGTCTTTGACAATGTGTGGTCACACGGAACTAAAACCAAGTCAGGCTAGCATGGGGTCTCTGTTTCAAATGCTTGGATTCTCCTTACCACAGCCCAGTAACAGAGGTAATTGTGCAAGAGCAAAAGTGTGTCACGGACGGCGTGGAAGTATAATATAGATATATCAGAAACATATACTTTACGTATCATTTTGCACTATCCACCAGGAGGAAGCGTTCGAAACATTCAAGCATTCCAAGTATTGCAGTCAGTGTTCGTGAAATCCAATTCGCCGCTGTTGTGTTGCACTATACTAGACGCTATATCCAGCGTGTACCACAGCGACAACGCGAATTACTTTATTCTCGAGGGGCAAAATACCTTGTCTCAGTTCGCGGAGAAAATCCATCTGAAAAATCCGGAGATACAGGAGAAGTTTTTTCAGCTGTTGGAGTTCATTGTTTTCCAGCTGAATTTTGTACCGTGCAAGGAACTTATATCGCTGTCTATTTTACTGAAAACCAACAATTCAGTTTCTTGCAGTATCATGTGTATGGAAACTCTTCTCAATATACTCAGGTAACACTCTGAGGATAATCTGAGAAATTTTTCATCTGATCAAAATCTGACTTGTGTTTGTGTACGAGTACATTATGTTCTAAGCTCAATTGCGTTCCCGTTTCAGACACAACACTATATTTAAAGACGTTTACAGAGAAGTTGGTATGCTAGAGGTCTTCGTGACGTGTCTTCATCGATACGCAACATTACTCAAGGACAAGCAAGCCGCAGTCGATCAAGGATTAGGTAAAGTTTTATCAAGGGATTACCATTTCTGTGTTCTCATACGTTCGTATCGCAAGTACAAATTCTGAGAATCTCATGCGCTTTCAGAGTACATAATATGTCCGGAAGATGAACGTTTGGGTGCCTTAGTAATGGAGGCTTTAACAACACTGTTAGCGAGTAATGTTCAAAACGCGAACGTCTTTAGGGAGTGCGGAGGCGCACGTTGCGCCCATAATCTAGTGCCCTATGTGGATTGCCGGTACCAAGCGCTCGGTATTGTGAGAGAATTAATACTCAGTGCGGGCGGTGACGACGACATGGCGACGTTGTTGGGAGTTATGCATTCTGCTCCTC